CCGCCAGACGTGCCTGTGAAGCACGAGAAAAATTGCTAGCAAGAGAAAAATCATATTCATGGTGCTGGGATTTCCTTGGCTTACTTGATGCAGATAGTTTTTGGAAGTGAGGACTGGAATATTTCCAATGAGGAAAGCACCTCATGTGTAAAAACGGTAAAATTAAATATTTCCCCTTGAAATTAAGTCTAGTCGTGTCCAACTCTGGGGTGTGGTGCTCATCTCCATTTCTAAGCTGAAGAGCCAGTGTTGTCTGTAGACATCTCCAAGGTCATGTGGCCAGCATGACTGCATGGCGTGCCATTACCTTCCCGCCGGAGCAATACCTATTGATCTACTTACATTTGCATGTTTTTGAACTGCTACATTGGCAGAAACTGGGGCTAACAGCGGGAGTTCATCCCGCTTGCTGGATTCAAACCGTGAACATTTCAGTCAGCAAGTTCAGTAACTCAGCGGTTTAACCCGCTTTGCCACTGGTGGCTCCACACTACATGTGTAGTGTAATGTAACATTGTTCAAACTTGGCAAGGTAGCACAATGACTTTCAGAGCCACTGTGCTTTCATTATGACCCTTAGTCTCTGGAGTACCAATGAAGCTCTTTTGTATTGTTGCCTGCTAAAGTATATTTCCCTTTATTCAAATCCATTGGTTCATGTTCACCCTCTGGAGCAGATAAAACAAGCTTCATACGATACCCCTTCAGTTATTTAAAAATAGCTATAATCTCTTTTCTAGACTATATATAACCAGTTTCAGAAGGTGTTCCTGATAACACATGCTTTCCAAACAGTTTATCATTTTGGTAAAAGGTTGGTGAAGCCTTTGGAACACTGCAAGAGATGATGTAGAACCAAGGAAGGTGGTGGTCCCTGGACAAGATCCATTCCCAATGAGCTGATTGTAAATGAAGGTCTGTATTCTTTATCCAATACTTTATCTGTCCAACACTAAAGCTGACCAAGTCAATATACGTTAGAGATGGGAACTTGTTCTGATACCTTTGACTCTTAATGTCAGGGCCCCTGTCACAGTGCTAGGCTCCAGCTGAAGCTGCAGGAGCATTCTTCCAGCCTATTTTTTGGGATGTGAAATCACCTTCACATAACCCAATCTTTTTATTTGATGAGATGATTGAAAGAATTGTGTTAGGCCCAGCTGCAGATTCTCTTTAGTTAAAGTGACTTATTCCCTTCCAGTTTGATTTTAGGTTTGGAACTGTACTGAAACAGCCTTGACTGATTATTTTGTTGGCAAAGAGACAATTAATACTACCTTGCTTTCTCTTTTAATTAGCTTTAGGAACTATTGACAAGATCACAGACAGACTAAGAGTATGAGACATTTTTAAAACAAGTTTATTGTTAGAGAAAATTTAAAACAGAAAGACATAGTTGGTAATGAATATTGCATGGCAAACATATTATCCCAGAGGTGTTTTAATATGGTATTGGATTTATGTTAGGTGGGTTGAATTCAACATTCAAATATACTTTCAGATGGTTCCTTGCTATAGTTTACTACTTTTTGACTTCTGGATAGGAGGGGTAAGTTTGGGCAGGAAACTCTTATTTAACATCTTTATCACCAGTGTCGCTATCTCTAATGGAGTAATAGCTCAAATAAATATTAGAAAGAAAACAGCTAAAGTAGAAATTGGCAAATTGATAACTTGTGAGGTTATTTCCCCTTTAATCTTTGACAGCTGAGTTTCTGTCATTCTTCTTAGCCTTTTAAAAAATGACTTTCTAGATATTTTCACTTTCTTTTCAATCCCCCATCCCATCCCCTCTGTGTGTAAAATCAAATGCTCTTTTCTAAACCCCTTTCCTCCATCTCCCTTAAAAGAAAAATATATTTTTTATTGCTGACACAGGTAGAATAATATCGCAATCTATCACCATTTTCAAATATTGAAGTACATATTGAATACATATGAAATATTATTTTCATAGTGTTCTTATCTATTCCACCTTTATCTCCCACTCGTGTCTATCAATTTTTCACCCCTCTCCTCCTCCCCCCACCCCACCCTCTGGGAATAGTACTTGTCTTCATTCAAATATTAATTTAATTGAACAATCGTGTAAAGAGAATGGTTCGGCTCTTTATATCTTTCTTTTCCTTCAACTTTTTCTATCAGTCTTCCCCATTTCTGAACCCAGGTCTTTTTGATTCGGCATGTTGTATATTTTGCTCTTCTTTCAGAGATGTAGTCCTGAAGCATATAATCAGCTAGGTAACTGTACCATTTTTAACTTCCTACTTTCTATGGTCTTTTCACCCCAAGGCCACAGTTGCTTGGGCGGCTACTATCATATATTTTTTAATTTCCGCCCAAACTTTGATGTTTTTGTTCTTGTCTAATTTCTGGGTGAAAAATTATTTTTATTCAAAACCAATTTATGCCCTATTAATTCTTCCATTTCCTTCTTTACCTTATTATAAAAATCTTGTACTCTGACGCATTCCCACCACATATGAATATAGGAGCCAGTTTTTCCACATCTGTGCCAACACAGTTTTGTGGTTGTTTTAGTTATGTGAGCTAATTTAATTGGGGTTCTGTAACCATTTAGTCAGTATTTTCCTTTGTGTTTCTCTAATCCTTATATATTTGATATTTTTGATTGAATTGATCCAGTGTTCAATGTCTGGATCATTATTATTTAGATCTTCTTTCCATATTTCTATCAATGCTTGTTTCAAATTATATTGTATTCCAATTAATTTCTTGTATATGAACCCCATCAGGCCTTTCTCCTTTTCTAGTTTCAACTTTAAAATTTGATCTAAATCTGTTTTTGGGCCTTCCAATTTTCCCTCCACTTCATGATCCTTTGTTTCAATCCATTCCGAAGGAGCCAGTTACATTGACCACATTTGTCCTTTATCGTCTCCCAATCATTAATTGTCCCATTGGGTTTAGGAGGTCTTTTATCAATTTCATTCCATTCTGTTTCAAATTTGTTACGACTTTGCCAAATATCTGTTCTTTTTTATTGTCTGGAAACCCTACTGGAAGTATGACTACTTTATTTATTGGGAATTTGCCTTGCCATTTTTTCCAGCACTCCAAGGACTTTCTGCTTCCCTGCCACCGGTGTACCTCTTTCCCTCCCCTTTGCTTGCTTCAGGTGCCTCCTCACCACCTTTGGGCCTTTTCCATAGGCTCAGCCACCCATCAGCTCTTCTCCTGCCTGCCTTCCTGGCAGACAGGTGAGGGGCTGACCACTGGAGAAAAAGCCCTAGCCCTTTGGCGGCCTTTGTACCTTGTCAACCGACACCACCCACAATTCCACAGCAATGAGCCATGGCAGTTTAAGTGGGGTCAAACTGCATCAATTCTACAGTGGAAATGTGGCCAGCAAGGGTAGCGGAGAAGCAGTAGTCGCTTTTAGAGAAGAAGATACCACATTGCAGCGGGGCAGATGGGTGCTGATTCCTTCCTTCACTTCTGTCTGGAGAAGGTTTGCTCTGAACTTGACCACCTCTGATCTGGGGGCAGGGGACAGATTCCCAATTTTTGTGGTGCAGGACATAATTTCATGCCCCCCATAGTTGGTGGACTCTATCTCAGCCTTCAAATAGAGCCTGAGAGTGAGGGAGAAAAAGAAGGGGGAAAAGGTAGGTAGAGAGTAGAGAGAAGGAAGGAAGGAAGAGAAGAGGGAAATAGGAAACAGAGAGGGAAGGAATTCAGAAAGTGTGGGGTAGTGGTTTGAATCTCGGACTATGGCTCTGAACCCACTGGGTGATTTTAGATAAGTCACACGCTCTCAGCCTCAGAGGAAGACAAAGGCAAATCCTCTTTGAGTAAATCTTGACAAAAAGCCATCTGTGATAGGGTTGCCTTAGGGATGGCACATTGTGTCCTTACTTGGAAAGCGAGGTGCTAAAAACTTGAATGACTGTGAGTGTTGTTCCATAGTGGAACTCTCTGCCTCAGAGTGTAGTGGAACTTCCTTCTTTAGAGGTTTTTAAACAAGGGCTGGATGGCCATCTGTCAGAGGTACTTTGACTGTGTTCTTCCTGCATGGCAGGCAGTTGAACTAAATGAACAATGTTGTCTCTTCCGGCTTTATGATCTTAATGCATTTGGTGGTACAATGTTTGTATTTAATGTTAAAGCTTAGTATTTTAGAGGGTTAATCCAGTATCTCCTTGTCTCATAATTTATTTTATGCAGGAGCTCTTGGCATTAAAGTGCATATACAAAGCTGCCTTATAATGAGTAGGTCATTGACCCATCTTACTCATTATTATTTGCACTACATTGCTGCTGTTCTCTGGGGCTTTTTTTAGTCCTACGTAGTGAAGCGTCATTCTGAATGGAAAACTGAGGCCCGTATCCATAATAGTTTGTGTTTCCTGCCAATACAATTCAGAGGGACATAGAGGTCTCTTAAATATAATTACGTTCTCATCATTACTAAGAGAAATGGGCTGTTTTCAGACAGTGGGAAATACGAGGGTATCAATTCATTGTTAGGGTGAGGGTTTTTTCTTTTCTTTTTAAGAGTGTGATAAGTACCTTTTTACCAGAAAGTGCTTCCTTTCACAGCAATGCCGAGTGAAAATACCTCTCTTCACCTGAGAAAGAAATGTGTGCCTTCTCTGCCATGCTCTAACATAGTTATTCATGAAGATGAAAAGGCCAAGTGGGTTTTCAAAAGGTACTTTCAAGTAAGTGTTTGTGTTAGTGCTATCAAGTATAAGGTCTTCTTAGAATTCTAGCACAATGTTGTTAGTTACGAGCAGGAAATACAAGTCTAACTGCTAGATTTTTGTTATCTTTAGTTTTAACAATATGCTTCTTTCATTTTCCTATTTGCTTTATCAGTTTTTCTGTCAGGGCCCTTCCAGACAAGCCCTGTGTCTCAAGCTCTGATCCCAAGTTTTCTGCTTTGAACTGAATTATATGAGTCAGCACTGCCAGACAATCTGGGATAAACAGAAAACCTGGGATCAGATCCTGGGATATAGGGCCTGTCTGGAAAGGCCCTCAGTGTTCCCTTTCCCCCCTTTTTGTTCTTCTCAAGTTAGTTACGTTTTTAAAAAGGTAATGTTGGGCCAATGTCCAGATTTCTATGACACAGCAAAACCACAAAACACTTCAGAACCTTTTTCCTGGCTATGCTGGAAGAAGAGAGAAAACTATGAAACATCTCCAGGTAAAGATTAGTTTTGTTTACATCTTGCTAAAATACAGTTTAACATAACAACTGAATGCAGCTGTCATCTCTATGCATCTTTTCACTTGCTCTGCCTCCATTGTACTGTATTTTTCTCTATCTTACTGTCACCTAGTATCTTTAATCAATAGACTTTAATCATTAGACTGTCTCCACAACTAAAGTATTTTGGTCCTGATATTTTATTAATCTTTTAGTGGTTGTAATGCTTTGAGATATATAATAACTCTATGCCCATTTTCCTGTTTCACCTCATTGCATATCTGATTTTACCTGCATACCAGCTGTTTAAAAGTAGTTCTGTGCATTGCATCCATTTATGTCCAACTTAACCAAGAACACTTTCTTACTGTTACTTTGAAATTTGGAAAGCATCCATAAACTTGTGCAATAGTGTTTGTGGGAACTTGGTTGTTAGCAGGGAAAGGAATTAGGGTTTTTTTTAGCTGTTTTGATATTGAATTGCAGCATATTAGAGGCTGGGAATGTGATACTTATCCCCTGAAAACTTCTTATATGACCACATACCTGAAAACATACATGAGAGTTGTTCTATTATGTAGAAAATCTGCTGGGTATAATTCACTGGTGTGATGAGCTTAGCACATTTCCTACAAAACCCTGCACATCCTGGAATAAAAGGGAACTGATTTCGTTACTTTTTAAGTTTAAAGTATTTCAGGAAGTGATATGGCTTGAGTATGTTACTAATAATAACCAGATTCATTGTAAAAATGAGCATAGTGAAGTAAATATTGAAAGTGACAAAACACAGTTCCACTTATGATAATGTGACAGTTCAGATTAGCACATGTGGCAGCAAGTTCTTATGATGTTCATAATCCAATTTGCATCTGGATAAGTATTTATTTATTTAGTGCATTTATATCCCACCCTTCTCACCCCGAAGGTGGCTCACAAAAAAGGCACAATTTGATGCCACATATGCATACATAGGATAAAACAAAACATATACATTATAACCAAATAATTAAAACTTTATAATTTTAAAACCAATTAATTAAAACCACGCAATCCAAAGGCATGTTGGATTCAAGAGTATGTTGAAGATCAATCTGCCAGATGTATTTCCCAAGTGGCTTTCTAAATTCACAAAAAAGATATCATGTATGGGTTGCTGTGAGTTTTCTGGGCTCTATGGCCATGTTCCAAAAGCACTCTCTCCTGACGTTTCACCCACAACTATGGCAGACATCCTCAGAGGTTGTGAGGTTTGTTGGGAACTAGGCAAGTGGAGTTTATATATCTGTGGAATGTCCAGGGTGGGAGAAATAACTCTTGTTTGCTTGAGAAAAGTGTGAATGTTGCAGTTGACCACCTTGATTAGCATTGAATAGCCTTGCAGCTTAAAAGACTGCTTCTGGAACATGGCCATACAGCAGCCCAGTGATTCCGGCCATGAAAGCCTTTGACAACACATAGCATGTATATTCCCCATTTACTTGACAATTCCTGCTTTACTTGTGCACGTGGGCTGTTTTTTCTACTTTGCATAGCACTTCTTTTACATGCAGAGTACCACATATCTTGTCAGATCTCCCCACTCCCCAGGGGCTAGAAAGTACCTCAAGGGACAAAACAAACCATATATGTGGGGAAGGAAGGCAGAGAGAAATTGAATGCCTGATTACTTAAACATGTTTAAATGAATCAGAATAGTTTGCAAAAAAATAGTTAAAAATACTAAATTTTCTGTTCCAGAAAATTACATAAAAACATACAATGAAAGAAAATGTGAATATGCATACTACCAAACATGTTTTCTTTTTCTGAGTTGTTAATTAAGTATTAGTAAAATATATAGGTCACTTTATAATAGATGCTTCCATGTGCAATGTAAGTTTACTTTTAGATATGTAACATTTGCTAACTTTATTTTTAGGCATGTCGTGGTAATGGTAATTGGTCTTTGCTTCATTTACATGATCAAGTTAAGGTTTGATTCAGAGGACTGTGACATGACAAGGATTCATTATGTGAACACAGCACATGTGAAGGTTGGTTATGTGTGCCATCTTAATACTTCTCTCTTTGACAGGCTTTGGGATAGGCTTTAGTTACATTGCATCAGTTAAAAACACAATCCAACTAAATGACTTGAACTTTCAGATCAATTGTGTTTCCAGTAACTGATCACCAGTAATTCATGTCCAGATAAAGGGGCATAATGGCACTGATAAAAATTAGAGAATTATGTGAGCAAAATTAGAAATAAAAGTAGGAAACAAATATGTTTGCTAAAGCAAAATTTATTGTACTGTGGTTGATATACTGTGTCCTTTAATGTAAAGTTTTCAGTAGCTAATTCTTTTAAAAACGTATTTAAGTACAAATGTACAAAATAGGATAGCAACAATATATAAGACAAAGAAAAAAAATGAGTACAAGAGAGATAGATACAAATGGAAAAACAAGAACAAAAATAAAAACCACATCAAATCTTCTCTTCTGTGGTTATTTAAACCAAAACAAACCATAAGAAGCATCAATACTTCTCTCACATAACGATTTCACAAAAAATAACAATAATTTGTATTCCAAATTAAATCTTGCATGCTTATAAATATAATCCCTATAGAAAGTTCATGAATTCATTTTATGTATTTATTTTATGTATTAAACAATAATAATTTTCACATATTTTAATTAAATACCACCTTCTCTAACTTAGACTTAAACAGTTGATAATACCTTGCTTCTTCTTCTATTAAAATAATCAATTTACCCTTCTCATTTTCCCACTTGAAGTCAAACTATTATAACATTGACTACTATGTCTCTCATTAATCCACAAAGAAAATGTTAAATTCTTCCATTCAGTATTTTAAACTGTTATCAGTTATCAACTCAACACTTACTACTTTATCGCAGTTTATCACTGACCTTTCATAAAATTAAGTGCTCCCTTCACCTTTTTTTGCCTTTTTATTCCTCTCCAGGATTCAAAGGGGTTGGGAAGCCAAAGAGGAGAGGTCAAGGTCCCTGAGTATCAGGCCCTCTTAAGTAAATATTGCACTCTCCCATAGGGTCATGGATGATTGCCTTAAACCAGTGGTTCTCAATCTGTGGATCTCCAGGTGTTTTGGCCTACAACTCTCAGAAATCCCAGCCAGCTTACCATTAGTTAGTGAGCCTCGACAGTAAAATCTCAAATCTAGGAAAATCAGACTATATTTCTTTGCTTTTCATACATAAATTCATCTTGAATTTATTGTGAAATCTCTGAAAATGCCCAATTGGAGCATTAATTTTCAAATTACATAAAATTGCGAGGTGGAGGAAACATTTTTCCATAGATGCCATTCTTGTTTGTCTTCTCAAACCCTCTACCATCTTCCACATTGCATGTTAGTCATGCAATCTGTTATTTCCAATGTTCTCATCTTCCTCTCCCGGCTCCTCTAGCATCACTCAAGACTCCCAGATCTTCTCAGTCTGGACGCAAATCTCATGGCTTCACAATCTTCCAATGTTTGGCTGACTCTTTGGTCTTCCATATCAGATACTGTAACTTCCATCAATTCTCTTGTTTCATTTGCTTGGTCCTTGGACACATTTCTGCAGTTTTAACTTGTAGAGGTTACATTTTGGAATACAATACCTCTGTCTCTTCAGTGCCTCCTCCAAAGCAGTGTAGATATGACATAGACCAGCTTTTAGACTCTGTTATTATTCCAGTAGGTTTCAGTGAGCTATTTCTGCCAGCCAAAACAGTTCCACTTTCCCAAAACAATCCAGTCTCTTTTTAAAAAATCATTTTTACTCACAAGACGAAAATACTTGATCTTACCATTTTAAAATAATGCTTCAAGTGTTTCACATTACTATGTCATTTGTCCACTTACGTAGTTTAAATTTACTCTTTCTTCACCCAATATATTAGACATTAATTTCAGTCTACAATCTTTAAATGTTTTGAGGATAGTTCTCATGATCTCTCATATTGATGTGAAAAGCAGACAGTGATAAAACTCCTGATTCAAAAAGATGTTAAGGTTGCTTGTTGTACAATAGCTTTGATTGTTATTACAAAAATAGAGAAGAAAAGAGAGTGTGTTTTCCTGGCTTAGTGTCCATTAACAGTAGGTGTATAGCAGGGTAACCTGGTGTACTTTGTCCTATAATTCCTTTCTCCTTGGTTGTGATCAGTTATCATAGTCCTCTTGACCTAGGTAGGGTTTTTGGGTTGTTTGTGTGCATCTCCTGGATCTCCCATTTTTTGGAGAGATGAACCAACAGTTGGAACATGCCTCCAAATTGATGATCACACTGTGCCCCTCTTTCTCAAAGAACCTTATGAAAGAGATTTCAGTTAGCGCTATCAGTTTCCAGAAGTGGCTATAATGCCGACTTTATATTTGTTAGACTTATGAGAGATGCATTTTAAAGTTGTAAAAGTCCTGCACATTACTGACCAAATGCCTCTATATAGACATACCCATGTATATGACCAGAAATGCCACTGTGTTATTCTTTTGATTTAAACTGTCAGAAATTAATTTGATCAGAAAAAATGAAATGTAAATAACATAATGCATCCATTTTTCCGAAGGAAAAAAATAGATATGTGTGGGAAGTAATATTTGAAATACTGTTTTTGTAAGTTTTTCTAGCAGTCATTTAAAAAAAAAATCTGAAGCTTACAATTACCAGATACAGTAGGCGTGAATAAAATTAATAGAATAAAACAAAAAAACCAATTTAAGGGCAAGTAAATAAATTAGAAGAAAACAAAGTAAAAACAAAATACTACAAATTAAACAATATTCTAACTTCAAACTGTGTCTGGGCAAATGCCATGTGGAGACCTGCATCACAAAATAAAATAAAATATAAATATAGAGAATAATGAATGTAGAAAGATCAAACCAGAGTGAGGAAAAAATGAGAATGAGTCTTATATCACAAACCAGCGAGATCAAACTTTTTGTAATCATCAGAAACGAGAGTAGCAGTTTAAATCAATGTTTATGCTGATTTTAAATATGTCTTTAGTTTTTTTCCCATCACATCAACTTTTTAAAAATATGACAAATGGTACATTGCAGTGGACTACTGTCAAGTCTGCACATTTCACATCATATTCGCGTAACACAAGTGAACAAGTATTTTTCATCAGATATAATTTAGGTCATTCTTACAGAGTTATTTTGCACTGAATTCAGATCTGTGTTTATTTTTTCTCTGTCGTGTAGTTTTTGCAATGAGGCTAATCAAACAAATAATGCATTTACCCACTTATATGAATAGAATCTAATTAATCACAAACCAACAATTATTTTTCATCAGATATTATTTTAGGTCATTCTAATAGAGTTTTTGCCCTGAATTCAGCTCTTTGTTTATTTTTTCTCTATCATGTGTAGTTTTTGCGATGAGGCTGATCAAATAATTAATGCATTTACACACTGATATCCATTAGATTCTATTGATATCAGTGCGTAAATGCATTAATTATTCAATTAGCCTCATCACAAAAACTACACGTGAAAGAGAAAAAATAAACACATTTCTGAATTCAGTGCAAAACCCCCTATAAGAATGATCTAAAATTATATCTGATGAAAAATACTTGTTGGCTTGTTTATTGCAATTACTGTTGAAAGCGTGTCCTTGGTCTATGCTAGAGTGCTCCTAGAATGTTGTACTATGTGTAACTTAACTACTGTGTCTTGTTATAGAGAACACAGAAGTATGCCACGCAAGTTTTACAAGCCCAATGTCGGCCATCATTTGTGAAGAAAGAGATGAGCAGGTTATTTGGAGAGAAGTACAGTATCAATGCATCTCCTTTTATAAGAAAAGATATAAATGCGCACGAAGATATCTTCAAATATGAGCCACCTTTTGGATTTCACAAGTTTTCAGAAAAACTGAAAGACCTTTTGGAACTTTTGCCTGAGTACGATTTACCAGAAGGCTTGCAGTCAAAGCGCTGTAAGCATTGTGTCGTTGTTGGGAATGGTGGAGTACTTCATGGACTGGAACTGGGATATGTCTTGAATAAGTTTGATATTGTTATAAGGTATATATTAGGCTTTTGTTTTTCATTTTAAGATTTTGAATTAATGCTAGTACAGGCACTCCCCGAATTACAAACATCTGACTTATCAACTACTCATAGTTAAGAACAGGGGTGAGACAACATGAAGTGAGAGAAATCTACCCCACTCCTGAAAGACTAATCATGGGGAAAAGGTGTCTCCACTGAAGCTTTATCACCAATCCATCTTTCCACAACAAGCCATTTTTTAAAAATCCAATGATCACAGGAACAGAAAGTGAAGTAAAATCTTCTGAACAGGGAGGAGCACAGACAGCAAGACAAACCTCACAGGGGATTTAACCCTTCCCTATTGTATCCAAAGCTTGCATATGGCTGCAGTTACCCTTAAAATGTACCTGTTCCAACTTGCATAGAAATTCATCTTAAGAGCAGACTTCCATAACTTACCTTGTAAATAATTTGGAGACTGCCTGTATTTGAAAGTGATCCAGATTTTTTCTTCTTGGAATTACTATATGTAATTTCTGTTGAGTGTGGGTTGGATAGCATTCAAGTTAGGACCATTTAGGGTTTGTTAGCCTCATGTTTATAATGTTAATTTTTGAATGTAAATCTAAACTTCATTTACAAATGTGACACTTTAACCATTTGCTTACAAAGTAACTCACTCATGCGGTTTGTTCACTTTATAGATTAAATAGTGCACCAGTTCAGGGATATACAGATGATGTTGGTTCTAAAACCACTATAAGAATGACCTATCCAGAAGGTGCTCCTTTATCTCAACATGAATATTATCCAGATGGGTTGTTTGTTGCAGTTCTATTTAAAAGTGTTGATTTTGGCTGGATTCAAGCAGTGGTTAAAAATGAAACGTTGGTAAGTATAGTAAACAATTTTTTAAAATAGTGTACTTTCATATTACTTGAATAGTCCCCAAGTTTCAGGTAATTTTACTACATGTGTATTTGTCAAAGACAATTTCTGTTTGAAATTCATGTAGACCTTTAAAAGTTTTAGTAACCAAGGCTATCAAATGATGCATCTACACTACAGAATTAATAGAGTCTGACACCACTTGAACTGCCAGGGCTCAAAGCCGTGGAATCATGCTCTAGTTTTTACAAGTTCTTTAGACTTATCTGCCTGGGAATGCTGGTACCTCACCACCCCCAGGGTTCCATAGCATTGAGCCATGGCAGTTCAAGTGGTGTCAAACTCAATTAATTCTACAGTGTAGATGCACATGATTGCTCTCAGAATTCTTGGAATGCTGCATAATAATAAATCACTAGAATGTTTGGCGAGTGTCATGGTAGGCACTCTGCAGTTTGGTTGAGTGATGTGATTGGGTAGAGCCATAGAGGTAGGCATTGTATAGGAGGGCCAATGTAAAAAGACAATAGAGACTAAATCTCAGAGGTTCAGTTTCTTTGCTCTACAAAAAAAAAGGATTACTTTCTTTTTGCAGAGAGCTGACTTGTTATGCTATACAGCAAACTAATACCTTGTGATAAAGGTATTCAAAATATCTTTTAATACCTTTATCACTATAGAATTTGGTATGATTTTAATGTCAGCGAACTCCTAAATCTAAAAAGGAGTAGCATCACTCTTCCTAAAGGCAATGTCTTATGCCACAATTTATACTTGCATGTGCATAATATATAACATGTCCATCGAGATCATTTGGTCATTCAAAAATCAGTATATTCTTTCTTCCTAATGCAGGGAAGGGTCAGCTGCAGAAGAAGTATCCCCTTTCGTGTATTTAAAGGGAGATTCATAAATTGTATTTTCATTAATGCTTGCTACTTTTGTTTTCAAGCATTTGGATCCAGCAGTCAGTGAATTATGAGAAGTCACTGTAAGATAAATTGACATCAGCTTGACATCATAGGACCGGGCAGACTAAAGGGGATCTGTGGGGCATGTGATTGATCATAGGGCTTGTTTGGTGCCAGAAGGGAAAAGAGGAACTTGACTGGAAAATCGAACTTTTTCATGACCTGCTCTGCATTGCAAATGTTCAATGGAAAGTGTAGGATTTTTCGCTGCTGTTCAACATTTTAAATCTTATACAAAATTTGAAAGTTTTTGGCTTTGTCCTTTGGGTCAATTTGGAAAAGTTAATGAGTAGTGACTAAAAAATTGTATGATTTGTTGCATTGTAGTTAGTGTTGAAAGTTCTATTCTGAATGTAAATTAGAATTTTCAATTACTGCTTCCACACTGATGGAAAACACGTGAAAGTCGAATGACATTGATGTTTTGATTCTTCAAAATTTTGTTTTCATGACAGACATATTTATGCCTGTTAGTGGAAGATACTTGCAAAATTTAAGGATAACGGATACTGTATAATACCAACAGATTTTTCTTTAGTGGGTTCCCAGTGTGCTGTGGCTCAGTCCCTTTGCTCCTCTCATGCTTTTCTGTGTAGAAGAGAGGAGGATGGAGTGAAGCTGGTTGTGTACTTAGTCAGCCTCATCTGAGTCCTGTTTAAACTTGGCTCTTCCCCATAAGGGGAGGGTAACAGAAAACTGATGGTGCCTGTTTCTGTTGCTACCCACATCTGTGTTGACTTCAGAATCCAGGTATAATTCAGATAAGGAAGTAGATGTGTTCTTCATCTTTCCTTTTGTCCCTGAAGTAGAAATAACACGGAAAAACAGGAAGCATTTCCTAACCCCCCCCCCCCCCCCCCGCCGCAATCCTCACTATTCACTGTTCAATGTGTTTCAGCAAACTGTTTATTCAAAATGAATATTAAGCAACAATCTGGTCACATAGACCTTGCATAAATATAGTCCGCCCTCCATATTCATAAATTCTGCCTCAATGGATTTAATAATCCATGCCTTGAAAATATTCTTTAAAAATAAAAAAGTAAAGCTTGATTTCGTCCTTTTATAGGACATCCACAGATTTTGGTATCCACAGTCCTGGAATCTCTCCCAGTGAATAGCAAAGGCCTACTGGAAATAAAAATCTTTGAATCTTTTAAGGACCATTTGAAGGCTTCTTCTTTCCAGCATGATTTTCTTCCCAACAGTTTTTACTTTCCTTTTGTTGTTTATTGTTCTATCATTTCCGGCTGCCACCCCCAGCTCCTTCAAGGTCAAGCCAGTCACTTCAAGGATACCATCCATCCATCTTGCCCTTGGTCGGCCCCTCTTCCTTTTTCCTTCCATTTTCCCCAGCATCATTGTCTTCTCTAAGCTTTTCTGTCTTCTCATTATGTGGCCAAAGTACTTAACCTTTGCCTCTAATCTCCTTCCCTCCAGTGAGCAGTTGGGCTTTATTTCCTCGAGTATGGACTGGTTTGAACTTCTCGCGATTCAAGGCACTCTCAGAATTTTCTTTCAACACCACAGTTCAAAAGCGCCTTATCTTCCTTCGCTTAACCTTCCTTATGGTCCAGCTCTCACATCCATAGGTTACTACGGGGAATACCATTGCTTTAATTATGCGGACCTTCATTGCCAGTGTGATGTTTCTACGCGTCACTATTTTATCGAGATTGGTCATTGCTCTCCTCCCAAGAAGTAAATGTCTTCTGATTTCCTGGCTGCCGTCTGCGTCTCCAGTAATCTTCGCTCCTAGAGATACAAAGTCTGTCATTGCCTCCACATTTTCTCCCTCTATTCGCCAGTTATCTATGAGTCTGGTTGCCACCATCTTGGTTTTCTGATGTTTGACTGCAACCCAGCTTTTGCACTTTCTTCTTTCACCTTGGTTAGAAGGCTCCTCAGTTCCTCCTCGCTTTCAGCCACCAAAGTATTGTCATCTGCATATCTCAGGTTGTTAATGTTTCTTCCAGCAATTTTAACTCCAGACTTGAATTGATCAAGCCCTGCACATCTCATGATGTATTCTGCATACAAGTTGAATAGGTAGAGTGAGAGTATTTCCTCACTTTCGTTAGGATTTGTATTTTGGTGGCACTATTTACAAATCTGTTCAACATGCAAGGCTTCTCAGTCAGGCAAGCTAATCTGCTTTCCCCCTTTCCCCCTGTTTTTGCTCTTCACCCATACTAAGTAAGTGATTTGTGAGCAAGCTGTTTTCTAGGCTGTTGTTTGTAAGCACACACAGCTACACTAGAATAGAATCCAGTTCTTACTGAGGTCAAGCTTCATTGCAGTTTTCCTGCATGCTCTTTCTGTAGCCATCTGTAGTGAAATCTACCTTTAAGGCGACCAGGCCAAAGCCTGAAGGACAGTAGCTGTCATCTTGAAAGACAGGCAGAAGCAGGAGGAGGAGTCAAGCCGATTCCTGATTGGTCAGAACAATTAGGGGAGGAGTCGGTTGAGAGAGGGAAAGAGGCTGTCAGCTTTTGACAGGGAGAGAAGTGTCTTGACATCAGACACAGAAGGAAGGGATTTTTAGGAGAGGAAGCTAATTAGAGTTCTGACAGGGAAGAAGAGTTTTTAAGTGAGCCTTAAGGATAGGGAATAGGTTGTAGACAAGGGATAGGGTTACTGTATTGAGAGAATCAGTAACAGAAAGACTTGTCTTCTTATACTTAGGGAAAGTATAAGAGAGCTTATTGCCCYGTGTATGAGACAGATAGGAGTCTGTTCTCTAAGTGATACTGTTTCTAAGAAYAGAACAGTGTGTTTAAGGGAACTCACAGTTTTAAAAGCTTTATTGTCAGTWGAACTAWCTGTTYAATCCAACTAAGTCTCTACAACTGAATCAAGTYTCTGTACCACTCATTCTATGAGTMGAWATWYKYTTWAAGTTTAATAAACCTTTYCTAGTTCACTTTTAACTGGTGTCAGCCTCAGTCTGTCAAACYMTTTYARAGTCCAGTCAACCAGTAAAGCAGTTACARAAGAACYAAGGGCAAACACACCTTACCTACAACACATTCACACCTTTGGTTCCTCAGACCAATAAAGCTGAGGTGGTGGCAGCCATATCTACCAGAAACATCGGTCATTGATATATTTAATCTATGGTCAGTCGCTAATTACGTTATACTGGTGGCAGCGGTGGGATTGTTTGACCATCCTGCCCAAGCTGTGGTCTCTTAATTTCGTTATACCATCCTTCACCATGTCAGAGGCCAATGCTGCAAAACAATTTCAGCTAGACAAAAGTTAAGAAAAAGAGTGAGATAGTGGACTGGGCTCCTATAAGAAGAGTTTGTAGAAAGCAGTTTCTTTTTGTGATATCTGTGTCTCACACCAATGGGGTTTTCCACCTGCTCCCAATTGTTCCAGAGCTGAGTAACTTGGTGGGAAGCAAACCCCCTCCATCCAGCACTCACATCCTAAACCACCAAATCTACTCCCCCCCCCCTTGTTTCTCTATGTCCTCTGACTGAGTGACAAAGTATTTTGGTCATTAATTAGTTCCCTTTAACTTGTGGTCTTCATCTCTTTTATTAAACCATTGCTTATCCCTTCTCTATATCTCTGCTGTATTTGTTACTCCTTTTCTAATGGATTTTTTTCTTTTTTCTAAAGTTAATACATATACTGTAGTTCATCACATAATAGTTGCCACCACATAATAGTCACACCCCCATTATTGGGGTGGTAAAATTTGTATTTCTGTGTTCCTTTCATAATAGTTTCAGAGCCAGTTGGAGCAGATTCCCATTCCCTTCCTTCTTTCTCTGAAGGCAAGACAGTTTAAAAACTATGAAATGGAGGTCTTTGAACCTAGATCTTCCCTGCTTTCTCCAAAGAGCTCCATTTCATAGTTTGTTTTTTTTAAACAAAAAAACAAACCAACAGAAATTGAGCTGTTTCTCTGAGGCTGGCTTGTCCCTCCTCTTTTTGTCTTGGAGTTGAGTCAGTTAATTAAAAAAAATAGAAAGCAGTGAATCAAACCGCCTCGAGTCAGCTACGGGCTGAGTGGGGCGGTATACAAATATAGCAAATAAATAATAAAGGCAATTTTTTTCTTCACATAATAGTCACACCCCTTTTTTCAATTAAAAAGGGGTACAACATATGACTATTACACAATGAAATATGGTAAAGAAAAGCTTTCGTTTCTTTTTCTTTTTGTCACTTTTGATTTTGGGACTCTGCACTCCTGTTCTTCCCTCTTGTGTGCTCAACTTCTCTTTCCAAGCTTTGCTCTTCTTATGGGTGAAACACTTTCTCATTGGTTGGACATTCTGGGTGTGTCTATTGTCTTGTGAGGTACAGCTAGCGCAACACTGATCCATTTGTCTGCCCAGGCTGAAATTTTATTGTTGGGAGCAATATCTACAGGTTGCTGATCCAGCTGTTGCAAACAATATCCATTGTATGTTGTGTGTCTTAAAGAAATTCCAAACTTTCTAATCCTGTTTATGTTTTTTAATTTAGCCACTGTGGATGCGACTATTCTTTTGGAAACAGGTGGCTGAGAAAATACCTGTGACACCTAAACAGCTTCGCATCTTGAATCCAACAATCATTAAAGAGACTGCGTTGGATATTCTGGAATACCCAGAACCTCGGCCAAAGTTTTGGGGATGGGATCAGGTCTGTATCTCTTAAGAATGAAGGAAGTTGCTACTGTTTTTTTCACCCTTCTACTTGCTAAACACTACAGAATATCATTTGTAATTTATTTAATGATATCAGTCATCCCCTGGTGATGTAGTGGGTTAAACCACTGAGCTGCTGAACTTGCTGATTGAAAGGTCGACGATTCGAATCTGGGGAGTGAGGTGAGATCCCGCTGTTCGTCCCAGCTTCTGCCAACCTATCAGTACAAAAACATGCAAATCTGAGTAGATCAATAGGTACCACTTCGGAGGGAAGGTAACGGTGCTCCATGCAGTCATGCTGGCCACATGACCTTGGAGGCGTCTATGGACAAAGCTGGTTCTTTGGCTTAGGAATAGAGATAAGCACCACACCCCAGAGCCGGACACAAATAGACTTAATGTCAGGAGAAACGTTTACCTTTTTATCAATCATTTTGTTAAAAAATAGGAATATACATTCATAACTATCTGGAGAGCACTGTATTGGGCATTATTGTAGTTCTTCTTAATCTTTATTTGATCATAATACTTGATGATTATAGTATCAAGAAGGAAATGTTACAGTGATATGATAAAACTAAAATGAATAGATTCTAGTCTCCATTGAATTCTAAGATGTACCCTCTTTTAATATATGTTTATATGGGAGAAAATGTGGGTCTTAGAATTGAGAAAATACAGTATGTTCAAATTATCATAACAGGGAATAGCATAATTGATTGCTTGGCTTTTCTATCAATGACCTGCCCTCTGTGACAAGGAGAAATCATTGAGGCACTGGGAGAATTGTATCATCAAGTACAAATTAGGGAGGACAAAAAGTATTTTGGAGATAATTTTGATTGCCTACTAAATATTGTCTGCACATTCTGATATTGCAGTATGGGATAGTAATCAGAAACACATTCTTCATTTTTCTGTTCTGATAAAAAATTAGTAAGGAATTACATGTACTGTTTGTTTGTTTGTTTGTTTTGTTTATTTATATCCTGCTTTATCTCTACATATGGAGACTCAAAGCAGCTCACAACCAAAAGCATTTCAATACAACTTAAATTATACAAATATTAAAACAGTATTAAACAACATTAATATTATAACAATCCAGGTTAAAACCATAAAAGCATATAAAACCACATCACAAAATCACAGCAGTTTAAAACTATTGTACTCAGTGGAATATATTTGCTAGCAATGTCTTGATTTTCAGCATAGCAGAATTCTATTCTAATTGGGGAATGTGATTTTTTTTTACTCCCTTTAGAATGTGCCCACTATTGGAGTGACGGCAGTTGTCTTGGCGACACATTTATGTGATGAAGTGAGTTTAGCTGGATTTGGATACGATCTTAGTCAACCCAATACACGGTTGCATTATTATGATAATCTTTGCATGGCTGCGATGAATGAACAGACTATGCACAATGTGACTACAGAAACAAAATTTCTTCAGAAGCTGATCAAAGAGGGAGTTGTGAGAGATCTCAGTGGAGGAATACTTTGCACCTACTGCAACAAGTCAAACTAATGGTTGAAAATGAGTCTAAACATTGGATTTTGCATGTTCCTCCTTTCTGGAGGAGACCTCAGTGTTTCCATCATGCAGGCTACCCTAAAGAACCCTTTATCTCCATGTTTATTAGTAATAACAATAATAATACTTTATTTATAACCTGCCCTCTCTCCCCGAAGGGACTCAGCCCATTGAGCCTCTTGAGTTGCCAGTATTTGTGTACCAAAGTGGCACATATTTGCTTTTTACAAGAAGTGTGTGTGTTAAGGAAATTTCATGAATGTATATTTGATTTTTGGAGAAATGTTCATAAGTTATCTTTAATTCTAAAGAACACTATGCTTAGTACATGCTACCTAAACAATGAAAGAAAATATCATGTGGTTCTTCATACTACTGTAAATGTTTCTGGCTTGAAAATATTCAGAATGTGTTGCTTATGTGACTCATTTTTGGGTAAAGAGGTTGCATGCCTAGCCTTCTGCAAAACCTTACCTCTCACCTGTTTCATGTTCATTGTGCATGAACCTTTTCAGTAGCAAAAGCAAAGGATTGCAGAGCAGCTTTCCCCTGATATGGCCAGGAAATGCAACATCCACTTCCGGTTCTGAGGTTGTTGCCTTTAATAATTGCTAGGTTTCACCTGACTCCACTGGAACAAATAGATTAAGGTGTATGATTGTGAGGTGTTACAATATAGCATGTTGCGTTTGCAAAGAATGAAAATAATTTGCTTTACATTGAGGAAACAATGTCGGCATGGTTTCTAAATAACATACAGTAAAGCACCCCTGCATTTGTTCATTTAACAACACATATTTCAAAATATTTCTCTCCAAAATGGATGCATTCTGATCTGCAAAGAGTATAACAAGGACAAAGCAAGTGCAAGAGATTCATTCTTGCTTTTTAAAAATTCTGCAGAGCATCTAATGTAAGTCTCTCTCCCCCCCCCCCCCACATTCCTCTCATTATTTACATACATTTCCTGTATCATATATACTTATATTTAAGTCGAGGACAGGTTTTGGGGCTGAAATGATGGATTTTGATATAACCCAAGTATAAGTTGAGAGTCATTCTATGGACAGTAGGGCTAGCCTTCTCCATCACCTCTGTTTTCCTACCCAGCTATTTTAAAAGGCCAGAAACTGCTCAACAGTGGAGAATGAGGGGGATAGTCTACTCAGAAAAAGAATAAAAGGCAGTCCCTGGGTTATGAACAAGATAGGTTCTGAAGGTTTGTTCTGAAGGTGAATTTGTGTTTAAGTCAGAACAATAATATGTAAGTTGGATGTTTGTAACTCAGTACTTCCTGTAGTTCCTTTGTTATGAATTAAGGTATAGAACTCACAGTGATGCATGGATAAGTTGACCCAGGTTTTTTGGGTTGATTTTTGACTAAAATTTCTAGACTTAACCTGAATATACAGGGTAGGTATAGTCAAGAGAACTATAGAAGTTTCTGATTAGATAATCAAAATAATTGTGGAAGATAGAGTTGCTTCTTAGTGCTGCAGGCTTCATAATGGAAAGAAATATTGCAGCATAGGATTTGCACACCTGGAATGCTGCTGTTCAAGAATCCAGTCACTCAGTTTTATCATTCCCCAGGATACTGTATCGTCAGGGTGATATTCTAGCCGCTGGAATGACAGAGACCTATATTAAATTACCCTGAAAGTATATGTGAGAACCAAAAAACCATTTTAGATTAGTCTCTCCCATCATTCTGTGTTGCAAGCTGCAAACATGTTCAAACAGAAAGGGCTTTTAAAATTAGTTATATGATCCTGGTTGAAGAGAGTAAAAAATTCAAGGTGACAAATACAAACTCCTTGCAAGAGCCTAAGTGACTGTTTTGGCCATTGTGCTCTAGAGCCATTTTTATGTTTGTTAGTTCTTAGGAACTGAAACTATGAAAATGGGAGATGACTTCAATCAGGGAATATTGTATCTGTTTTGTTATGTTGAGTTGGCTTTTGATAGCTGTGTTTTCATGGATAACAGATAAATCAGTGTTTTTAAAATGTGAGAAAATCAAATTTTCCTCCCACTTCCTTAATATATACTCTAAGGAGGTGATAAAGACGTCTGTGTTCTCAGAATAATAGAAAATAATTAATGTTAGATTATTTTCTTTAATAAGCAATTTTTGGTAAAGTTCCTACATACTCAAGATATTCCCAAAGTACACAGGAGCATGTAAACTGGAAAGAAAATACTCAAAATGTTTTGCAAGGACCTCCAGCTTTTCAAGAATTGAGTATATTGGTGCAAGAAAATACTTAGGCAAGGAATTTGTCCTGTTGTCTGCAGAAGGGATGTCCAGGTGAAATATGAAAAACAGCCTGTCATTAGACATTAGAAGCAGCATGTCATCCTTAATCATTTTATGTCATTAAAATCCTGGCCTCATTTTCTCTCAGAAATTGAGCAAATGGTGAAGATCTATTGAACTTAGGAAGGGAGTTACGCTTATAATGTTATGGTGAGCGTTGATAAAAAGAGGGGGGGGGGGATAAGGCTCATACCTTGGTGATCTCCTGTGCCATTGCATTCCCAGAGAAGGTCTTTTTAAAAAACAAACAAACTAGAATTCATTTCCAGTTATCTCCTGTGTTGAAAAGGGGACTCTCATGAGTATAAGATGGCTAAGCACGACCTGAAACATAGCAAAAATGCCTGTCCACAGCCCCTAGGGTGTGTTGAGGCACTAAGCATAATGTAGCCCTTTAGCTTCCCATAGTTGTCTGCCTCAAATACACACTATTTTTGAAGTATGCTATATCTTCTAACATAAACTTCTGTTCCTAGGCAGCTAACAAAGTAAGAAGCAATAAAAGTACAATAAGAACAAATAATCATAGCCAACAGTCACACTAACTAGTTTATTAAAATATAAAAAATAGCAATAATGATCAAATGATCACATTCAGCATTAGAAACCAGCCCCCCAAGCAATCCTTGATATATTGTAGATAAGTTCTGACCATTTATAACTATAAAAACATACAGGTATGTAATGTAGTGACTAAATGCAATTAACCTTTTCCTTATTTCCTGTAAATGTATGTATACTGCAGATTGATCATCAGATCTGAAATGTCCACTTAATTTGCCCTTTGGTTCTTTGGCTGATGCTGCACTACTTAACTATTGAATGCATTTAGGCATTTGAAAGAAATGTGAAAAAAATAATGACTTCAATGGGTGATCAAAACTCAACATAATAAATTAACAAATAAAATGTCATCAGCTGATTCTTGAGCAATCAGTTTGACTTGCCTGTGTTTGCTTCTTCTATCTTGCAAAATGTGACGAAGGTAACCAACACTTATAAAAATGTATGCAAATCCCTAGTTTTTTATAAATTGAGAGCTCTGTATAATCTAAGGGACAGAGCTCAGTATAAAACCTACACATCAAATAGCGATTACTCATGGGATTTGTAAAATAATGGTTTGCTGTAAACTCAAATAACAATGATAGAAATTGATGAATTTGATTTTATGATTAAGTATTTGCCATGAATTATATATTAGTATTTATATATGTATATATACCACTGAGGTATTTTGATAAACTCTGGTTTCCAGGACTGTGGATGGTTTGCAGAAGAAACATGTGATGGTTTTCTTATTTTGTCTCCAACATTATGGAATGGAGCAGTGTTATGGTAACTCATATCTGCTTATGAGATAATGTACGACCTAAGTGCTAAACAATACTAGCACTGCTTCAAACTAGTAAGATGGCCTTATGGAAAATAGAAGATGATACCTTACATTTTTGTTTGAATTTCATCAATATTGTTGATTTTTTTTCTTAGTCACTTTGTTTTATGAAAGGAATACATCTGGTCTGTTTACCCATTCCCATTACATGTGGTATTTCATCTCTACTCAGTTTGTTGTCTTTCTCTTCAACAGTTGATCTTCATTCTTTCCTGTTCACTGCTTTTGCCCTTCTGTCACTCATTGTTCTCTATGTCTTACATTTAATACATTTGGTCCACTTCTTGGCTGACAGCTCACTCTTGATTCTAATGCTACACAAGCTTAAGAGAGAGAAAGAAGCAAATGTATTGTTATGTTGGGTCTGTCACATCGCATTGTAAATACCTCACAATGTATGAGTTCAGAATGTTGTGTTATCTTTAATATATGAGGTAGAATGAAGATTTCCTTGTTGAATTTCATCATTTTCCAAAGGAATTTGTATGTCCCCTGGAGTCCAAAAACACTTGTACACTAATATATGAACCACTCTTGGAGAAGAACAATGCAAACTAAATGTAATCTCTCATGGACTCTTGTAGGCATTTAGTTTTGCAGACAATCAATTTGCACTGGATTTAGGGAGCACCTTTGACTACTGTGATCTGGGAAGGCTAAAAAATGTAGGAATTGAAAACTGTTATTTCTGCTTCATGACTTCAGGGCACATTTATTTTCCATCAGTAATCCTTGAAGATTAAAGCTGCACATTATACAGAATACAATATCTTCAGGATGTGTACTGGATTCTTGTAACCTTTTGGTACTGAGTGGGTGACTTTCCTGGTGACTTTCTATAGTGGGTATGTCACGTATATGTGGAATTCTTCTCCTATTTTGCCTGGAACATAACAGTGATGGAGCAGATGACCGCGAAGGTCATGAGTAGTGAAGTGGCAGCTTTAATTCCTGACAGAAAAGGCATTTGCTGCTATTTTCCCTGGTGTTTTTGAGCCTGCAGGTCCTTTTCTTCTTCTACTGCTGCCCCTCCTCGTCTTAGTTTAGCATAGTTCCATTGACAAGAAGGATCTTAGCAAACACCTCTTCCTTCTTTTCAGGACTGGTATCAACAATTCACATCCTTGATCTAAGGCTTGTTTCTAATTTCTAACTCAGATTCCTATTTTAAAAAACAAATGTACTGCCTGCAGTGCCTACCAGTGTTGTTTGGCTGGGCTTAGCTGCCATATTAGATTACTTCCGTGTTTCCCAGAACCCCTGGTGGCGCAGTGGGTTAAACAGCTGAGCTGCTGAACTTGCTTACCGAAAGGTTGCAGGTTCAAATCCGGGGAGCAGGGTGAGCTCCTGCTGTTAGCCCCAGCTTCTGTCAACCTAGCAGTTCGAAAACATGCAAATGTGAGTAGATCCATAGGTACCGCTCCGGTGGGAAGGTAAGGGCGCTCCATGTAGTCATGCCGACCACTTGACCTTGGAGATGTCCATGAACAATACCGGCTCTTTGGTTTAGGAATGGAGATGAGCACAACCCCCAGAGTCGGACACAACTGGACTTAATGTCAGAGGAAAACCTTTACCTTCCCAGAGACAGCATAGCTCTGGTATTGTGGGCAGTTAATACGGCTTGTAGCTCTGTTGGTTAGTACTACCAGACAAACCTAAGTGGGCCATCTGATTGAGGAGATGGCACTGCCTTTCTAGTGCCTCTTGGACCTGGAGCCAGTCCTACCTCTTCCTGATGAAAGAGGAATCGAGTACTTCCCGCTGGTTCCCCATGTGCCAGTCTTAAGCTTCAAAGGCCTCTGTAATGGCAGAACATACTTCTTAACATGTCCAAGAATCTGAGTCTGAACATTACAAAAGTCATGATAAAAATGTTCAATATTTGATCAGCAGAATGTCAGCATCTTTGCTTCTATCCGGAAATCTGGAAGAGTAAAATATATGCTGCTTCTGAGAGTGCCATTTCACTTTGTTGCTTAGAGTATTGTTGGGATTTTGTCGATGAGCATACTGATTGGATGGCAGAGTACCACATCTACGCTGTCTTAGTGTTCACTGGGTGGTGTTTTCCTCATGTTTCATGCCTTCTCCCAGGAATTATTCCTGGTTTTTCATCCTGCTTAGACTCCTGTTATGAAACAGTACTTTTGATTCTTGTGTTTTGCGACAGCAGGATGGCTTCAATCCTACTAGTCCAAATTTAATCTGTATTCTGACTTAACAGTAATGGTTTGACTGGAAAATTATTTGGGAGAAAGAATGTGCTTTAAAACTCAATTAAGAAATACTGTGGATCTTTGTTCCTGTTGCCTTTTTTCCTGTTAGGATGGCCATCTTGAAATTAATCAATCCTCTTATTTTAATACTTTTTGCACTGCCTGCCATAGCCATGTGATCCCCTTACCTTAAATGTGTGCCAGCTGGGAAGAAAACAGCACTTATAATCCAAATTTCTCTCAATGTGCCGAACGCAAATATCCTGGTGGCTTAGGAAGCCCAAGGATGAGTGATGTATAAGATGACAAGAAGTCTTGAAAAGCTATCCGGGAAGGAAGATAAGGGTATCAATGAGAGGAAAAAAATCTTGTTAACAGAGAAAGGAAGGATATGTTGAGTTGTGTTCCAATTAGTTTAGCTGCACCTAAGGTAGTTTTCTTTAAATTATTGTGCAAAAATTGGTGATGGCAAACTTAAAGTCGAATTGATTTCACTAGAATGAACCACTTTATATTAACCCTAACCTAATTATTGTAAATTGTCTAGGATGTATTTATTTGATGAAAGGAAGGATGCAATAAAATTTTTAATCGCAATCAAATAAACATTTTCAAAAACCATACTTGTTCTATTAGTGCTTTTTTATTTATGAACTTGACATGAACTTCAGCCTGACAACCTGTATCTAAAATCAAGGTAATGCAATATACATAGTTTATTTATTTATTTATTTATTTATTTATTTATGCGCTTGTATACCGCTAATATCTCAGCCTAAGTCGGCAACTCATTGCGGTTTACAACACTTAAAAAACAGTATTCAGTTTAAAAGCATAAAGCACATATACAATACAAATTATTGGGCCACCAATAATAATCTCATGCATCTCGTAACTGGAATCGCAGTCCAAAATTCATCGTCCATGTTTACCAATCCTTTAGTCATCAAAATTCGTTGCAACGGATTAACCGAATGCTTGTTTAAACATCCATGTCTTCAATCTATTCCGAAACACCATCAGCGAGGGGGCTGATCGTACCTCTATGGGGAGGGTGTTCCAAAGCCGAGGGGCCACCACAGAAAAGGCCCTGTCTCTCGTTCCCGCCAGCCGCACGTGTGAAGCCGGCGGGATAGAGAGCAGGGACTCCCCAGAAGATCTTAGGGTCCTGGTGGGCTGATAGGCCGAGATACGTTCGGATAGGTAAGTTGGGCCAGAACCTTTTAGGGCTTTAAAGGCCAACGCCAGCACTTTGAATTGAGCCCGGTAGCAGATCGGCAGCCAGTGGAGCTGGTGCAGCAGAGGAGTTGTATGCTCCCTGCGCTCCGCTCCAGTTAGTATCATGGCTGCCGCGTTGGACTAATTGGAGCTTCCGAGCTGTCTTCAAAGGCAACCCCACGTAGAGAGCGTTGCAGTAGTCAGACGGGATGTAACCAGAGCGTGGACTACCGTGGCCAAGTCAGACTTCCCAAGGTACGGTCGCAGTTGGCGCACAAGTTTTAACTGTGCGAATGCTCCCCTGGTCACCGCCGAAACCTGGTCCAGGCTCAGCGATGAGTCCAGGATCACACCCAAACTGCGAACCTGCGTCTTCAGGGGGAGTGCGACCCCGTCTAACACAGGCTGTAACCCTATACCCTGTTCGGCCTTGCGACTAACCAGGAGTAGTTAGCAAAATAGCAGAAAACGGGACCCATCTGAAGTGCTCAATGGATGAATAGTTTACCAGTAAAAAAGGAAATTTGGTCTATCTATTATTTATTTTATTTATTACATGTATTTCTACCCCGCCCTTCTCCCCCCAAAGGGGGGCTCAGGGTGGCCTCACGTAAGCATCATGTGATGCTGTCAACATATAAACAACAAGGGTACAATTAAAACAGTAGAAAATAATTAAAACACATTATACAGATACATTACCAAGTTCATTAAACAATAGATTAAGATGCCAGTTAAAACCAAGACCAAGTTGGGTAAATCCAATGTCACATATGTCCAAACTTTGCTTCCAATTGTCGCTATCCGTTAGATGAACGCCTGCTCCCACAGCCAAATCTTCAATTGTCTTCTAAAGGACAGGAGGGAGGTGGCCCTCCTTATGTCCTTATGGAGGGAATTCCACAGACGCGAGTCCACTGCCAAGAAGGCCCTGTCCTTCGTCCCCACCAACCACATTAGTGAGAGTGGTGGAATCTAGAGCAGGGCCTCCTGACAATCCTAAGCTTCATGATGGTTCGTAACAGGAGATACGTTCGGAGATATGTATCTATGCTCTCCACCAGTAGTAGCATGTGGGGGATAACACTATAACAGAGTATCTTTAGGAGAAAATAGAAGTGGCAGCATAGGTAACTGGTTAGTATTGCACAGAATATTGTCTCATCACAGTAAATCCTATGATGGGACAATAAAAAATAACAAGAGCTACTGCTAAAAAGATTAGACTCTTAGGTTGGATAGTAGCTGTCAACATACTCAAGAGGTGAAAAGAAAGTCCAAAGCTGCACAACTCATTGGAATGTGGCCTGCGAGAAGATAGACACAGTAAAACAAGAAATTGATCTTACTAGTATCGCCATATTTGGAGTGCGGTACAAGCTAAGAATATGCAGTTTGTCATTGCCGTCTCTCAATGCCATGGAATTCTAGAATTTGTAGTTTGGTGAGTGTCATATGTTCTGCAGTTGATGGTGCTTGGTGATGGAAGGGTTAATGTAGGTAAGAGTCCTAAAGGGTTTAGTAATCTGTAAATAAGAGTTCATGGGTGAAAGCAATTAAGGGCGGAGGTATGCAAGAGATAGGTTGCAGCTGGGTGTTTGTGGATATAAGGAGCGAGTATTGGAAGCGATCTTTGGGAGAAGAGTATTGTCATATTTTGGTGTGGATGTAGCTGGTTTTCCCCCCAGGTCTGTTGGATTTTCAGTATCCTGACCTGTCTCCTGTAATCTTAGAACCTTGAACCTTTGGACTGTGTTTTGAATACGGTATAGACTCTTGATCCCTGGACTTTGTTTATTGAACTCTTGGCATTTGACCACTGGACTGGACCCTTTGACTACGGACGGTGTTTGCTATCAGTTTTTGTTTATTCTGTGGCTGAGTGCTATCTTTATGTTTTATATTTTGATCTAATAAAATAGCCAGCAAATAAGTGCTGTTTTAATTAAACTGTTTGATAAAATTGGGAGTTTGGTTCATCTCTACCTAAATAAAGCAGAGCCCTGGCAATGTGACAGAATACTTTTCTTCCCAAAGATCACTTCCAAGACTAGCTCCTTATATCCACAAACACCCAGTTACAACCTATCTCTTGCATATCTTCACCCTTAATTGCTTTCACCCATGAACTCTTACTTACAGATTACCAAACCCTTTAGAACTAATACCTACATTAACCCTTCCATCACCAAGCACCATCAACTGCAGAACATATGCCAGTGAGGCATAAGTACTCTTTAGTAGAGAAGGCTACAGACCTTGGAAAATTCCCAGGGTTCCATAGCTTTGGACCGTGGCAGTTAAAAGTGTTGTCCACCTGCATTAATTCTACAATGTAGATGTCTCCTGAGCCAGGATATATAAGTTTCCCATACAATGTTGTGGTGAGTCACCTACCAATTCTAAACTTTCTAAATATCAGGAAAGTTCTTCTGTCATGGGTTTTCTGACAATGGTGGGAGATGCAGCTTTTGTTACAGAAACTGTAAAAAAATGATCCAAATATTAACAGAGTGGAGTAATGTAATTAAATTATATATTTGTTGCATGAAGGACACAGCTATGCACTTGTGTTCATGCACTGGGATTGTCTAGCAGTGTTTCTCAACCTGTGGATCCCCAGGTATTTTGGCCTGCAACTCCTAGAAATCCCAGCCAGTTTACCAGCTGTTAAGATTTCTGGGCATTGAAGGTCAAAACATGGACCCACAGGTTGAGAACCACTGCCCTAGAGAGAGGTGCCCAGTTTACCCAGAAGTAAGATCTTTTGGACTGTTAAAGATATATGAAACCAGATAAGAACTACTGGGAATGATATGTAATAATTCTGGGGCTACTCACAAAAGTCCTGGGAATCTCATGGTACCAAACGCAGTCTTTTCCTTTCAGATTCAAGTAAAGATTCTAATTTGAGCATTTCTCATTCTATTTAGTGGACACCACAAGGTGGCACTGTAACATCGATAGCACTATGTAACACAATTTTTGTTCCTGGGTTATAAATGTCGTTTCTTAATTGGTTCTATCATTAAAACATGGAAAAAGTTTATTAAACTGTAAAAACTTTGTTTTTGTGGTTTTAAAAATGGCATATTTTCACTCAGGAAAATTACAAATGAAGTGCCTAGACTGAAGGAAATAAAAGTATAACCCCCCACCAAGCCACAAAAATGAAATTCCTGGAGTACAACAACTATTTTCAAAGTAAGTACCGCACAATTAAACAGGAAATAACACTTTTAAACCAGGAACAGATTTTTTTTCAAATTTTGTTACATAGTGTAGTCTTTGAAAAGGTTAGCTGGGCATGGGGAGGAGGAGAGAGACAAAGTCTAACAAAGTATTTTAAATAAAAACTGCATTCACAGAGAACCAGTGTGACCACCAGACCATCTTGCTTTCATCATTATCTTAAGCTTAGAAGCTAAGCAGGGCTTAGTTTTGTTCAAATTTGTATGGGAGTCCATCAGAGAAAGCCAGGGAGTTGCAGGTAGGACAAGGAAAGGATCCTGACCGAAACCCTAAAGAGCTCCCCTGTTCCCCTGAAAATAAAGCAGGGTCTTATATTAGTTTTTGCTCCAAAAATGTGTTAGGGCTTTTTTTTTCAGGGGATGTCTCATTTTTCCAAATTGACTTTTTAATGAACTGTAACTAGGGCTTATATGGACCTGCTCCATTATTTGGGCGGAGGCCACCAGGGGGTGCTAGAGAAAGAAAAATAGTCCATTTGGGTGAGGGGAGTTGGAGGAAAACAATTTTCCCCATTTTTGCTGGTCATTCACTCTCTCCTCCCGCCTTCCCATATCATAAACAAGTGTTGTTTCCACGATGGGGCATGGGTGGGTGGGTAGGGGATAACAGGAAAAAAAAAGGGGGGGGATCATTCTCCTCTTTCAGCCCACCCTCCACCCCAGTAAAATTGACTATCCTCTCTCTAGCTCCTTCTGGTATTCTCCACCCGGATAAAGGAACAGCACTACTTATATTTTGAGCATTATACAAATCCTGAAAAATCCTTGTTGTTGTTCATTCGTTCAGTCGTCTCCGACTCTTCGTGACCTCATGGACCAGCCCACGCCAGAGCTCCCTGTCGGCCGTTACCACCCCCAGCTCCTTCAAGGTCAGTCCAGTCACTTCAAGGATGCCATCCATCCATCTTGCCCTTGGTCGGCCCCTCTTCCTTTTGCCTTCCATTTTCCCCAGCATAATTGTCTTCTCTAGGCTTTCCTGTCTCCTCATGATGTGGCCAAAGTACTTCAACTTTGTCTCTAGTATCTTTCCCTCCAGTGAGCAGTCGGGCTTTATTTCCTGGAGGATGGACTGGTTGGATCTTCTCGCAGTCCAAGGCACTCTCAGCACTTTCCTCCAACACCACAGCTCAAAAGCATCAATCTTCCTTCGCTCA